CATTTCAATAAAAATCAATGGCTTCGCAATTTATCATAAGCTTAATGCACAAAATTATAAATGCTATTTAATATAAACAAATTTTTAATCGTTTGACTATTGGAAAGATATAAAAAAAAACCATAATCACATGAAAAAAAAAAAAATTTGATTAAGAAGTCTTGCAACGGACTCTGTTGGGTGTAGGATTGCTGATACGACCTCCTCGACCCTTTATATAAACATTCCTGTATAGGTCAGGGTGGATTAAGTTCGGATGTATGTAACATCCAGAAGAGCTTAAGATAGGACCACCATTTAGAATCATTTTTTGAAGTAATTTAGCATTGTCTGCCCGTCTTTTCCGTCCGTCTGGCTATCTTGGAAAGTAAGTCTTCGTATGAAAATATTGCGTCATTTTTGTTTTATTATCACCCAAACGAGTGAAGAACTGCATTAGGCGAAGTGATATAGGGTATCTACTTGTTGGCCTTGTCTGACGATAATGATTTTCTTTTCTTTTTTTATATACCACGTAGAACTTAGTGTCAAAAACTTCATAAAGTTTATATATATATGTTGCTGATGTATGAGCGCAAAGTTCTGAAACAATCCATGTCTGCGCTCATTACCCTAAAACTAAGATTAAAAAATGAAATTTGATTTTCGTCTTTTTAATTGACATAAGTCGAGAGTGCAACCACGCCTAGAGGAGGCGCAACACCCAAAATTCTATTTCATAATAGACGTTGACATGACCGCCGACACAAATGTTAATGAGAGCTACGTGAAATGTGGGTTCTGTGTATGCGAGGAGACGAAATAGAGAAATCGATAGATAAGTATTCAAATAAATGGATTGATGGGTTGACGGGGGAGAAAGCTGCTGAATGTATAGCTAGATGGACTAGCAAGGCTGCATTTAGATACACTGTTGCATGGATAAAAAAAAATAAAGCAGCGACTAGAGGAAGAGGAAGTCAGATAAGTTGTAGAGTTTAGAGGGACTGTTATATGGAGCAGAGACTAGAAGAAGAATAAGCCAAAATAGTAAGCGCATGGAAAAACCAATGGATATCTAGTGGCACCGCTGGATGGACGGACAGCAAAAAAAAAGGGGAAAGCAATGGTGACAAGTCATTTGGCCCAAAACTTTAATCGCATGCATGTAACATACACAGGCTCTATATAGAGTCTCATATTTGCAAACATTACTAACTTAATGACAAATTTAGTATACACTTATCCGTGAATTTTGGAAGTGAAAAGTGCATGAACGCAAGTTCATTATCCCGCAAAGTTGATGAATATAAATATTTATTTAAAGCCTACACATTAGTGCGCATAAAGAGCATCTTTTGAATTAACTTTAGCCAAATATGTTGATACACTTACTTAATACAAAAGGGAAACCGCTTTTTGCAAAATTGTTCCTTATATTGTTTGTTGTAAACGACGTTGTTTTTTTAACTTATGAATAATGAAAAATTTAAATATGCACGAGAGCTCGCTTAACAAACAACACTTAAAAAATCAAGTAATTTAAAGCCTTTTGTGTAAGATTAACTCGTAATTTTATTCAAGGCGTAGGTGTAGGTGTAGAACCAACTTAACAAAATCATTCATACTTTTTATATCTTCATAAACTTAATATTTTTTTGTAAATGATTAATATTGGATTGTTTGTAAGAGCTTTGCTGCCTTCAAAAGGAGTGCACCGGTGACAGCAAAACAATAAATTTTTATGTTGTTTTCAACACAATCTGTTTACGTATATTTACGTGTGCGTGTTCAGTGTCAATGCTAGCGTAAACGCATTAATTTGGCATTAATTTAACAAAAGGAAAATAAGAAAAGGTTTGCTCTTGACAAAGAACTTTATTTTATGCTTTCCAAGAAGAAGAAGAATTTCCAATGTTTCTGTCAAATTGGAAGTCAATGACTTCATTTCTGCAACCAGGAAACTATCTGCAACAGACATTATGCAGACGAATGGACGGATGGACGGACATGCTTAAATAGTTTTAGAATTTATATACTTTATGAAGTCTCTGAACCTTCCTTCTGAGTGTTGCAAACGTTTCGACAAAATGAATGTACACCTCATCCATCGCTGGCGCGCATAACAATGTTGAGAAAAAATAGTTGTTGACGTATTTATATGAGTTTTATTTTTATCACTTCAACTGAGAAATTAATTTACATCTACTATCGTTTAGGTATATAGGTCCAACCTAAAGTACGACAATACTTTAATTACATCAAGAAGAAGAAGCATTTAAATCTTTAAGCAAAAATGAATGTTAGCTTGATAACTTATTGTAATTTTGAACGAGCCAATCCAGGATGCGCAAGCTTTATGGGATTCGTGGATCACAGAAGGGCTCTAATCGGAAATGAAACAATCGTTCGGTTTTTATACTCGCTCTCAGGCGACTTAGTAAGCGCGGAGCTAAAATAAATATCGTCCTTTTACCCATCTATCCGTTGTCTGGTTATTGTTGGAACAATTGTTATGCAGGTAAAAAGTTTTAAGTTAACAACAACCCTTAGCTCATGGCGACAACTGTATTTTACAGATGAGTGCGGTTCGCTATCTCTGCAAAACATACAAAAACATCACAGACGCGCAAGGCCGGCCCTAAAATCTAAAAACTATATCTTACTTCCGTGCCAAGCTTACCTCTCATAGGGAGTCCACACCTGCATTGACGCCATGCAAGTTTAGCAAAATTAATTAATCTCTTCAAAGGTGTTTTTATTCTTCATTTATTTTCGTTTTTTACCACAAACAAGTCAAGTTCATAAGCACATTCATATGGAGTGGAGTTAAAAAAAAAAAGTCTACCTTGTCCCAGTGCGGTTGCAGGTAATTTTTGTTTCAAATTACTATTATGAATCAATCTATACTATAAAATATTAAAATCCGATCCTTTTGCCACGTAAACGTTTAATTTTTATAAGTGACGAAAATTAGTCTGCATTTGGATTACATAGGTCCATTTTTGAAAGGCCTTTACGAAAGACATCCCTCACATTAAGTTCAAGCATGATTTTCATTTATATATTCAAAGGTTAATTGTTACGGTATTTAAAAATCGGGATCGCCCGCCCGACCATTTCATATTTATTTTTTGATTAATGGCTTAATAAGCATGGATTTTAAAGCGACTCCGGGAGAAGAAGTCCAATTAAGTTATGCCGCACGATCTCGGCGGCCAGTTTGCATTTCCGGAGATTTCGCGGTCATTGCATCTTTCACCTATTAAATGGATTGTGTTACGTAATGTACGGCATGTTTTTGAAACCACATTGTTTTCAAATCGAAATTGTTCAATTAATGCCACGAAAAAAAAACAGATGTCGCTTTTTCGTTTTCAAAAAATTAAGAGAGAAAATAAAAAGAGAAACAGAAGCAAAAAATTAACAATAGAATTACATTTTTATGAAGATGGCTTAGTTGCAGTAGAGATTATCCGCAAAAGTAACTTTATGGATAAGAATTGCGACTACAAAGTCATTGTTCACGAGTTCAAATCTCATTGTGCTGGAGCTTACTTGGCCGTAGCTGTAGTAGTCACCCTGACAAAGGCATGACATTTATTGATTAGGAACAGACATACACTGGATTATGGCGAGCTTGTTGCATCCTTCTTTCCGACCTTCACCGTATCACACCTGTAGTGAACATACCCTAAGTAGGTTGATCTTATTAAGAAATACACAAAGGAACAGATGGAGGAGACTTTGTACTCGCGAGAATTGCCCGATGGCATGCTGGAGTTGTTACGAAATCTTCTCCTGTACTGGCTTTATGCTTACCTTTGTTGTTTTAATTCTAGACCGAATTCAACAATCTCTGAAACAACAGAGCAGATTACGGGCTAACCTTTATGTTCTAATATTTCTAAATCTGTCGACTTTCTAAAGAGAAACATTTTGAAAGAAAATCACGATCTCCGTAAAGGTAGCAGAGAGTAGTTGGAAGCAAGCAATCGCCTTCATAGTATAGTATTTTTAATTAGTATAGTAATTTGCCAGAAGATGATTGAACGGATGTTTGTTTGTTAGGCCTTGGCACACAGCCTAAGGCATTTTTATCTGCTCTATACTTATAGAAAAAAACAAAATAGACCAAGCGCAAACTTTTCTCATAGTTTGAAAAGCCGTCTCGCAATATATTAGAAATAATCGGTCTTGTGAAATCCACTTTCCTGTTATTTATTGAACGTCTTATATATATATATATATATATATGTCACTTAAACAACGCAGCTTTTATATGTTTCAAAATCATCACTTCACTTACTTGCTGCAGCCGCATGTGCGCTACTACTTGCTGCATGTGAGTGTGCGTGACGAAAAATCAAATGACCAACAACAATCTGCTTAAGTATCGCACGCACTTGCAACCATATCTGCTGATAGACATATTTCATTACACTGTCTTTATGATGTCAAACTCGTACATTTAAGAGATAAAGCAAAAACGATTTATTGCCAAAAATCAAGAAACCTGTAAAACAAATATCTTAACTTAACTTACCACGAAACGATGGTAAAGGAGGAGGCATGAAAAAGCCGATAAAAGGAAAGAAAATTAAACACTAATATAATAAAAATTTTTTTTACGTAATTAAAATTTATTTTATATCGTAAATGCATTTCTGTCAGTTGCGCACGTATGGTACGATAAATAATACAATTTTTTTGTTCTTTTTATTTCCACTTTTGTTCCTTCATAAGTAATGGAAGGCATACATAATAATAAATACTTAAAAGAACTTAAAAGCTAATGAAAAAAAAAATTTTTCGTTAGAAATGTTGTAATAAAATTTCTTTAAAACATTTATAATATGATGAAGAAGAAGAAGAAGAGGAAAAAAAAGAAGCATGAAACGAGAAAAATTAAAGCCATAAATAAATAAAAAAGGCATAAAAGAAAACAAAAAAGGAATGAAAAAAAAAAAACAAATCGGGATTAAGAGGAGAATTTTTTCTGCTTTTTTTTTTTTTTTTGTTTTTTTTCCATAAAAGTAGAACACAACACGTGATGTAATGTTATGGCTGCATTGAGAGATAAATCACCACATGGAACAAGTCTGTGAAATATGTAAAGAAACAAACAAAAACAAATAAATAAAAAAAACAATTTTTTTTTTTTTCAATTACCATAAATTGCTTATACCGACAGACATATAAATAAAAGTAAAATAAAAAAAAAAAAAAATGTATTTTTTTTTATTTCAAAATCTTACCACTATGACAGCGTAAAGATAGCCGATCAGTGAGCCGGCCAAGACATCGGTCCAATGATGTTTATAATCGGATACACGTGTTAACGATGTATACCAAGCGAACATCAAAAACATAAACTGCAGTAAATGCTTAAACATTTTCATCCGTAAGCCAGTTAAACGTTTATGCAAATAAATCTAATACAATAAGCACAAGAGTGAGAGTGAGAGAGAAAATTCATTTTAGACCATTATTTCATGGCAATGAAAGGTTTATTACAAAGTATTTATACCGCTATATAAATCATTGTGAAGCAAGTGAAACTTGCATGACCGCTGGGGAAGGAGAGATGAGCCTCTTTTAAAATTTTTGGCGTATAATCCAAACCGCGACAAGTAAAATCCTCTATATAACGTCCTTCATTTTGTATATCATCGCAGGTTGTGCCGTCATTCATAAGCGGTTGACAAACCTATTCAAACACAATTATCGTTACAAATATCTTGTTTTCTCTCTCTCTCTCTCTCTCTCTCCGTCAACTTGTCATCAAAAAAATTTTTTTTTTTTGTTTGAAAACTTACAGCAAAAAAATGTGGCCTTAAACGTCCTATCGAATATTTTGCTATATCCGTAGTTAACTCGCAGATGCCAGCGCCAAAGATTAGCAAACCATTGTGTTTATAACATTCCACAATCCAGTCGGGTATTTCCAAGTGCCACAAATAATAATTATTCATTGATAAATTGCCAAAAATGTGCATTTCGTGTAAATGCGTTGAAAAAAATTCCACGATTGTTATCTAAGCGTAAAAATCAATGAACGCAATTAATTTTTCATGCAACTTGCATTAATAAACATTGAAATGCATTTTGTATCTGTACGAAAATTATAAGAACGGCACCACCACCCAAAAGCCTTAAGTTATGCTGGCTTTGTCAGCCAGTTTGTTACAGATTTAAAGAATCAAATGTCATAAGTTGTTAGAAAGAATCTTTTACAAGTCAACACAACAATAGCCCGAGTCACCAGAGCTCTTATAGGAACTCTCTGGATTTATTTTCGATTCCCATTAGATAAAGCATTATTTCAAATTTTTGAAAATACAAAAAGTAAATCACATTATGTCATGCCAATGGCTTGATCAACAGTTCAAAGTCCAGCTTGATCAAGTTTTTCGAGTGATCAATGACTTTAGTTGTATCTTCTTCACTAAGTTTTTTCCCAGAATCTCCTTCGCAAGAATGAATCTTAAGGAAAGTTTAATTGCTGTACCGAACTATTTGAAATATGCGCCAAAATATCACAAATCGTTTCTTGGGTTATGTTATTGCTTATCTTAAGATGAACTAAGCTACGGTAGAGATTCGTTTTTTTTTCTGGTTTTTTTCAGGAAATCGTGATGAATATGAAAGGTTTGTGATATTTTCACAGTATTTTTAACGATTCCTCGCGACACAAAACTTAATTGAGTTCATAGAAACTGAAAGAACCCGACAAGCAATCGCTCCCCCTAACAACGTAAATAAGTACTTTAACCAATTGCTTCTGTGTAGTCCTATCATATTAGTTACTAGTTTTAGCAATTTATCCTCTATTTTTATTTATCGCAAGGGCGCTATCTCTAAACGAAGTTAACCTTTATTCCACTAATTTTCAGATTCGCTAGTATTTGAAGCTAGTGAAGTCCATTCTCAAGCTCAATACTTTCTAAGCTTCTACAAAATAATTAAACTTAGGCGGAATAACTGCAATGAATTAAGATAAATAGCCAAGACTTAAGGTAATCGAATCCAATCCGATTTCCGACTCTTCCGCCAACTAAGCGCTTGTAATTAAATCTAAAAAAAAAAATATGATTTTCTTGAAAAATGAATTGAAATTGAATTGAAACATAGATCAGGAGATCATAGAGCTGTGCGAATACTTCTTAGTTAAAAGGGATCCGCTAACGCGTCTACTATCCATCCAAACTCTCCATTTTCAGTTTTTTTTTAATTAGAAAAGTGCTTTCAAAATTCGTGTCAGCCTGAGTATGCTGCGCTACAGAGCTGCACAACAGTTGTGGGATCTATTAATTGTGCTTTTCCATTTACAACACCCGGATCCACATATCAAAAAAGCCATAAAGTAACAAGTAAGAAAATTATATGTGATCGTGACTGAACCTTTTATACCCATCACCGTTATCCTAAAAAAGACAAAAAGAGTAAAAGGAGTAAATTTTTTTGTTTTATGATATAAGGTGGACGCGGCTGTTTTTTCCCATTTTCAAAATAAAACTTTTTGTCGCATAGTCAGGTGAGCATTGTAGTTGTGTCCTTAGAAAAGTTTAAGTCAGGCGGATAGATGGACAGGCGAACATGGTTAAGTGCATTCCAAATTGAAAACTGGTTTGTATGATTATGAGAGTTTCGAAGCTTGTTTCTGCGCCATATAAAGCTGTTGAACAATCAAATTGAATTTTGATAGACTATAATATTGAGTAGGCGTGGTCAGTTTTTTCCATTTTTATACAAGTGCTATAGCATTCTCCAAGAATACGCGTTCAAATTTGTACATTTTTCTGCTACAGTTCATGAGTAATGCGCAAAAAACCAACAGAGATGTTTTTAATTTACATGGCGCTGTAGCCCCGTCCTTCAACCGATTTGGCTCATTTTGAATAACAACCTATGTGCAAGAAGTTCCTATGTTTTTGCCAAATTTAAAGTTCATAGCTTCATTTTCGCGGCCACGAGAATGTTAACAGCAGACAATACACATACGGACAGATGGACAGACAGCCAAATGCTTAAATCGATTTAGAATTTAATGCTGGTCAAGAATACATACATATTTTGTAGGGTGTCTAATGCTTCCTTTTGGCCGTTGCAAACGTTTTATGAAAGTGAACATACCTCTCATGCTTCAGTTATGGGTACAAAAATATTATTATGAAAATCATTCAGTATTCAATTAGTTAGATAAATACAAAAATTGCCTAACTTTGTTTAAAAGAGAATTTGCAAAATTTTTGAAAAGCAATGAGAACAAATATTGATATTCGATGTTTTAGCTGTCGGCGTCAATTAAATGAAGACGCATAGTGCAACTAGCGAGCAAGTTTGACTAAAATTTCCCTTTACGTCAGATGATTAACAAACGTTCTAGAACCAAAGGTCTTGTTCGTGGTAATATTTTAAGCTACAGACGGCTTCCGATGAGAAGATGACTTTAGCCTTTAAAAGCATAGCGGCCTCCATGAAAAGAAGTCAACCAGTGCAGCCAGTATATGTGCCTAGTAGAACGATATTATAAATCTTTTTCTTTCCTTTAACTCTGCAAATGACTTTCTACAAATATTCCTTTCAGTTTGGTAAACAAAGTTCTACGTTCTTCATAAGCCAGCGATATGAACCTAAGTAATATTATGGATTACATATAAACAAAGAAATATTCCACAATCACATGGCAATATTTAAAAAAAAATAAAAGTATGTGTAGAGCGTAATCCGCTTATGACTGGCCATTAAGCAAAAAGAAAACTTGTTTGTTGAAGGTTTTTATCAGATATCAATGTAAACTTTAACACCAATATATAGTAGGGTCACATACCGGATCATTGTAATCGGACAGCCGCTTTATCCACTCACTCCTTATTAAAAAATGTAGAATCATTTAGATGATCATTGTAGGAGGTGTCCACCTGCACTACTCATTAAGAAATGCAATCTTTCCTCCCTCATTTTGCGTACGATGAAGGGCACTAACCGCTTAATTCTTTGTTTCCTCTTTTTTAATAGAAAGTCTTATTTATCTCAATCTTATCACAAATATATAGTAGGATCACATACCGGATCATTGTAATCGGACAGCAGCTTTATCCACTCACTCCTTATTAAAAAATGTAGAGTCATTTAGATGATCATTGTAGGAGGTGTCCACCTGCACTACTCATTAAGAAATGCAATCTTTCCTCCCTCATTTTGCCCACGATGAAGGGCACTAACAATTCGCTTTAAGACAAAATTCGCTTAATTCTTTGTTTCTTCGTTTTTAATAGAAAATCTTATTTATCTCTATGGTTTTCGCTCATTTCAACTTTTGGAAATTATTATTAACACGTTAATCGTATAAGTTTACATTAACTTACTCTTGTTTATCGATTCTCTACAGACAACTCGGTTTGTTTGATAATTGTTTAATGAAATGAATTAATAGACATATCTATGAAAGTATTTGTGCTTGTCTATATGCGTATGTGTACATAAGCATTTGTATAGAGCAACCGCCTACACAAAAACTAAATTAAAATCGTTTATTATATTCAACTTGTATGCATTTTTCTGGTCTGGGACTCCTTATCTTTGCTGGCAATGCAATGGAATACGGGGACAAATTGAAAGATATGTTTTTTTCTTTTTTTTTTTAAATTTAATAAATAGACATTCAAAATAAAACATGATATCGTCTAACAATCCTTTCGTATTTACCTCTATGCCAATCAATTTTACGCCTACATGAGTTTTTGCTCTTTATAGAAAGAAAATATTAGAAAAATCTTGTCGAGATTCTAACGCGCGCGTAAAGGACTTTGTCGCAAAACATTCTTTCTTACTTGAAAACCATAGGTAGGGGAAAGGCTGCATGTATTCGATTTTACAGCTACGAGTTGAAGGTTTGTTTTCTCAAGGAAGTTAGAGTGTGCTGCTAGCTTAGGTGCATTAAAAAGGCATCACTTGAAAGTAGGGTGTTCTACGTTTATGTAAACTGCAGAAAGTTTTAAGGTGTTAGCAGTAAAGACATAAAACGATATATACTCTAGATCAGTGAGAATTACTGCAGTAATGTCTGTCCATATGTCAATCTAGTGAAGTCACGGTCATTTATATACATATGTATATACGCTATATATATATGACATATAGACTACGCTATGAATGGTCGTGACTTATATATGTATATGTATATGTGTAACATATAGAGTACGCTGAAAATGATCGTGAGTTGAATAGGTGGATATATATATTTGTGTAAAATTTTTATATATATATATATATATATATATATATATATATATAACTAAAAAGGCTGTGCGTATTAAAAAAAAATTCGATGCCAAATGATGCGGTAAGAAAGAAGAGTCTGGAGGTAAATGTTCGATTTCATTCTCGACGCGCACGTCTTACCCCACACAGATGGGAGCTAACAGTCTCTAGCTAAATTGAATAATAATACGAACGTCCTGACGCATTAGTCGTTTGTAGATTACTGTATATATGTATGTATATATATACGTATATATTTTATTTTGTCTTGTAAAAAAAATGAAAGAATCGTTGAGCAATTTCTGAAAACGTAACCGTATGTGCGCTTTGAAGGATTTGGTACGTTTTCATTACCAACCTACGCGGAAGAACTTCCGATGTTTCTGCCAAATTTGAAGTCGATTGAAGCTTCAATTTTGCGGCAAAAGGGAATGCAGACATTATACAGACAGAGAGACGGACATCCTTAAGTCGAATTCGAATTTGATACTCATCGACCTCTAATGTTTTCTGTCGGGTATTGCAAACATTCTTACGAAAATATAAAGTATTGTAAGCTCACGACAGGTAAATAATTGGAGTTGCCAGCACTGTCAAAAAGAATAATAATATTTTATTAACTACTTCGATATTATACACTTACACACGTAAAGCAGTGCTGAAATAAGTACCTTAAGGTTTATGTAATCATCGCAGAGTTACAGAAATACAACCTCATGGCCTCAACAGCACATAACCTCAAACTAGTAAATGAAAACTGCAAAATATTTCGCTAATTGTAAATCTGGCAATTGATCGATCATAACTGACCTCTTTTGGGCAGCTGTAGAAAATAATTGTAGCAAATTTAAAACTAATATCTCTTAGGCAGGCGGCTGTAAGTGGAAATTTTGTAAATGTACAGTCACGCATTTTTTTTTTTTGCATGAAAGCTTTAAAAGGTCTTGAGATAAAATGCATGCCCCAATTAATAAAATAATATCTGATCTGAATCGCAAGTTATTGCCTTTTTTATATACGTATTATGAACGCAGTTGTAAAAGTTATTTCAGTTGAATTTGAAAATTCGTGGCAATCGCTTTTCACTAAAAACATCGCTTAACTCTTTCCTTTTCGCTCAAATCGAATACATTTGATATAAACCTGAATTTTTTCAAACTCATATAAGCCTCTTAAACATATTTGTATTATTCAATCTATGGGACCGGCTTTCCATTGTTAAGCATTTTTTTTTTTCAATTAACAATCTGAAGTTTTTGTTGTTGTGTATTTAAAATTATTATATAACTATCGGCCACACAGCAGCTTACTGAACAGTAGTAAATTTTCAATTTAAAGATTATTTAAAATAAAAAAAAAAAAATAAAAAAAAAATAAAAAAAATGTACATGATTTTTAAGACCATTTACACACATCTCGTACAATGATTAAAATCGCAATAAAATCCAAAAAAAAGAAAAAAAACAAGAAGAAGAAGAAGAAGACGAGTGAAGAAAGATTAAAAAAGATTATCGATTATACGGCACACTACACAGTATGCCGTTGAAGTTTTTCAAGTTATGCTTCCAAGTGCACTTTAGAAAGCGTAAAGTAATATAACAACAACAACAGCAACAACAATTGAAGAAGTAATGAAAACTAAAGAAGAGATACGAGTACACGATAAAGCTGTACTTATGCATATCACTCAACGCTCCCAGCAGCCTTCCTCGCAAGATAGAAGAAACCTTTCTAACCTTTCAACGATTTTTCTAAGTTTACGAGTGCGATATGTTGTAATAATAGTTGCGTTAAAAGCAGCATCTTTCCCTTTAAACATGTCTATGCTATACAAACACTTTATCTTGGAAAAGTGCACTTGTTGTTCATTGTTATTTCGTATTGTTGTTCTTGGTATTGTTGTTCGTTCATTGCATAGAATACGCCTGAAATGTAAGAGACCCTGAACGCGTGTTTTTTTTTTGTTTTTTATGCCCATCAAATTTCTCATTGCTTGGTCGCTGATGTTGCTTTTGCTTCTTGGTTTTGCTTTTTTGCTTTTTTTTTGTTTTTCTAAATCTCTTCATAAATAAACATTTAACGAAAAACCAAATATTGCTTTTCTACTTATATCATGAAATATTCATATACATACATTGTATCATACATATATAAAGAAAATAGCAAAATAGCACGCACGCACTCATGATCATAAACTGGCCTTATGAAACTTCACGTACGGCCTTCTAAGATGCCTTAGACAAAACATACAAGATTGTTTAGTGCATTTGCATTACTTCACCTTGTCATAATTTTGCGAATATTATGAGTGTTTAGTGTTTCTATTATGACTAGACAGAGCAGAGTATATTATCTCTCTACTTACTATTGTTATTGGAACCACAAAACACATAAAATACAGCATCC